TTATAATCAGGGAGCATTCAGGTGAAAAATTGCTGAGAGTCAGTGCTGTTCTTACACACTTTGAGGAGATCCCTGGCTTTCATCTGGGTTGCTTTTATGACTTATTTAAAAACCCAGAAATGTTCCAGAGAGTGTCTTGTTTTTAAAAGGTTTTCCTGCAGAAGATGAGGGGGGTTTTGGAGCAGAGCAGTGACTGCCCGTTCCCCAGCACAGCTGCTAAGCTGAACGGGACCATGTTTTCTAGCTGATGCTGTGAACGTGACCACCAGATGTGGTCAGATCCAGCAGAGATCACCGTTACAGACTAGTAGACCTTGGTACAACACCCTGGTGTCTTTATCTGGACCTTACTCATTGCTGGAGGAGGTGTGACTTCCAATTACCTGACCGGGAACTCTTCCCAAGTCAGAACCGCAGCGTGTCCCTCCGGGGCGGACTCAGGATCAGTGCCTAGGGAGGAATGGGTGCCTCTGGATCCAAAGCTCATCCCATTTCTAGGAAAGTGTCTGTTTCTGAGAGCTGGTGACATGAGTTATATCATTTGGAGAAAATTAATATAAAAAACCTCAGTGAATGACCATGTAGGAAGGGAAAGGGATAACAAAGTCAATTAAATGGGTTTCAGTTGCTCACACACGTTCTCTCCTGGATTTTTTATTCCTTCTCACGAGAGCCATTGCTGTGTGTGGCCAGGCCCTCCTGCCAGGACGACTTTGGTGATGCGGAGAATGAGGAAGGCCAGGTATCGAGTTCTCGTCCAGTCTCTTGGGTCCTCTAGACTGATGATGATGAACTGGTTTTTGGACTGAACTTTCATAAACCTAAGGAGTCAACAGTTTCTTGGAGCTCGGCCTCAGGCTCCTGCAGCGAACAGCACTTTCCTCAATGTTTACCTGTGTGATGGCTCTCTGTGATGTCCTTGGCCAGCATGGAGACCTTTCTTCTTGCCCTCGCTCTCTTGTTTCTCCTGGAGCTTTCACACATGCAGACATTTCTGTTCGTGCTTCACTATGACCAGTCTTTGCATTTCCATGGCAAATAACTAAAATATCATGCAGTGGTTAAAAAAAGCAACAGGCATACAACCCTGTGTTCAATCCCAAACACCTGGGCCTGAAAGCACATCTGTGGCTGAGAATTTCACTGGTATTTTGGTCATTTTTTCCCTTCTGTGCTGGGAAGCTGGAATGCTAAAACATCTGTACCCTTCTGTGATTGCACACGTGTTGTCTGAGTTTTGGCAATGAAAACATAATGTTATGGATCTGGCAGCCCGGAACATGCATCTAGTTCAGCAGATGCCAATAACAGCTGTAGCTGAATATTAGATATTATTAAGAGGAAAATAAGGCTGTGAAATAGCATATGTTGTTTGGTAGCAAATGTCTTCCTGATGCATGGAAGCATGAGATTCAGCATGGGAGCTACATGCTTTGGTAAAACTATTGCAGCATTGCTGCCAGCTCAGTGTACATATTTCAAAAGAGAAGGATTTTGAGAACCCTCATGGAAGAAAGAGACAGAAAACATCCCAGCATCTTCACTGGGAGAAGCTAAGGCCAATGCCAACACACTTGAGTAGTAAAGGTCGACATAGACACTCCTAGTCGAGAGCACATACCTATTGTAGCTCAGATTCACTGGCCAACCCAACCTGTAGCACAGAGATTCGTTGCATGGTGAGGTCAGGATCACTGCAGCAGTTTAAGCCACGAATGCTACCTGCAGTTTGGTACTCAGTCAGAAAATTTAGAAGGATGAAGCAGATGGACAAGCCCCATTTTTTTCATGGTGATGGCACCTGAGTTGGCTTCACCTGGCTTGAGGGGGGCTGTTGGCTGCAGTGCCTGGGTGCTGCTCCTGGCTTTGCAGGGGTTAGCAAAGGCCCCTTCCATGGACACTGGTGCTGCAGGACCTGTCCCCAAAACCTGTCAGCTAAAATCTTGCTGGTGTAGAAATAGGGATATCTCCCCAGTGCCCTCCCTCCATCTCCCTTGGGTCATCCCTGTGGTGGGCAGCCCCTGCGGAGGACCTGTAGGTGTCATGGGACCAGCACAGGTCAGCACTGGGGCACCCCGCCTGCAGCACCTACTTCTGGGGGGCGGAGGTGGGTGGAGAGGGACCCGCCTGTGCCGGCGAGGAGGAAACCTGACTCCTGGGAGCTGGATCCCAAACCCACAGCACCGCCAACACTGTAAAAAGAAAATAGCAGAAGGGAAAGAAACAGCCAGAAAAGAGGAAAGGTCTGCTCCTCCGTGCCCGAGACACTGCAGAGGTAAGGAAGCTTCACTCAAAAAAAAAAAAAGAAACAATATCTAATCAAGCCTTGGCTTAATAGTGGGGGTATCTGATCATTTGTATGTCACGTGCAGAAGCTCTCTGACTTTACTGACAAAATTCCCAGCTGGTCTCATGAGCAGCATTGCACACCATGTGCCCTTTGCTGTCTCGCAAACCCTCCAGTGTGGGGTCACGGCATCCTGCTGCCGGGTCCCAGCAACAGTTTCATTGCGCTCTTGGTTGCTCCCTTCGGACGGAGGATGGCTAATTTCCCTGCCAGCAGCAGCTTTGTCACTGCTGTTCTTTTGGTCCATGTAATTGGCATTTAGTATTTTCAGTGGGATTTACAAATAGCGGGAAACCTGTGGCTCCCTGAAGAGGTGTAATAGACACTAGCTACTCCATCAGGGCAAACAGTGCTGCAAATGTTTGGGATGAGCAAACCATGGGTTCAGTAGGAACTGTTAGGGGGTTTACTGAAGAGTTACATCTAAATCTCTGTCTTTTGGACATAAATGCTGAAGCAGAGCGTGCAGTGCCAGGGACTTACCTTAACCGTGGCTTCTTGTCTGCTCATGGATGAGTGAATTTTGCTCCAGCTGCCCCAATACCCTGGAGAGAGGGGGATGCAGGTGCCTGCACAGGTTTCTGGTGTTATTTGAGATGCTACAGCAGGTATCCCACCTGCTTACCCGTTGCTATTTGAGAGCAGTGTAGGTCTTCCATAGGTGCTATCTGCCATCCTGATGCCTCTGTGGGGTGTTGGAGGTGGCAATGCACCCTTCTGCTTGAGCACCTGAGCCTCGCCAGGTATTTCACATAGCAACGCAGGGGATCAGGGTTTCCTCTCCTTTTCTGGAAGAGCTGCAGCACTTCCCAGCATGGCAGCAAGTGGCCCAGAGAGGGTGAGTGCCAGTGAAACACTTCAGTGCCTCTCAGCAAAAATTAGCAGAGTATCCCAGCATCAGGCTTTCACATTGTGGTGGGCAAGGGCTCAGGGCTTGATCCTTGCCCTGGACATGCCCCAGCCTGGCCTGCCAGCACCATGGGCTGTGCCTGCCATGGGCTTTGGAGGACAGTGGCTGTTTAACCAGAAACAGTTGTGACATGGCAGCTTAGGGCAGAATGTGTTTGCAGGTCCCTAATCATAAAGGAACGGAAAAAGAGGCCCCACAGCTTTTGTTATTGCAAAGCCCTTCGTGATTCAGCCACACAGTAAAACTGTACCTCTTCTCGCGGGCTCTTCCAGGCACCTTGTTTGGTTGCTCTTGAGCCGGTTCCACTTGGAAATGGTCCATAGCTGGTGGCCAGTGTGGTCAGCTGGTGTCACTGTGTGCTGCTGGCAGCTACCGCTGCCTCCAAGGACACTGCTGAGAGACAGTTGTAAGCAATATCCTACACGTCCTCGTGGATGCTGACTGTAATGATCTGTAACAGCAAGGTCAGTGTATGTGACCTGACTGACTATCTGCCATTAGGCCTTGATGACCTCCTTATAACTGTACCTCCGTGTAATGCTTTTAAGGCATCCAGCCTGGGAGTACTGTAACTCTGTGCTTTCCATGTTTGTGCTGCCCTCTATCTCAGCTGGGATTTCGTATCTTTCATTAGATGTTCTCGGTCATTAATTCTCTCAAGATCTCACCCTGCTGCAGCCTCCCTGATCACTGCTGGGTGGCTGTGAATGCTGCCTGGGCCAAGTCCGGCACCCCTGGAGGGAGGTCATCAAAGGAGAGGGTGTCGTCAAATTGAAGATGGATTGAGCCCCCCCCACCCCAGCGCCTGAGCATGCACTTGGCAGGAAATTTGTGGGTTAAAGCAAGTGGTGTGCTTAATCCCTGCTGTGGGATTAAGATGAGTTTTTCTGACTGGGAAAAGCAGCTGTAATCAGGCCAAGGGATCTAGCGTTGGAAACCAGAAATACTGGGGGAGGAAGCCAGCTCTCCCCTGTTGCAATCCAGAATGCATGGCTGTGTTTCTTGCTGACCTGAGAAGATGGGGATTAGCGTGGCCACGGGGTGAGGCAGAGGATCAGGTTTGCAGCGGGAAGCGCAGACTGGGTGAGAAGAGTTTGGTGCTTGCCGCTCACTGTCCATGCCATCCTGGGGCAGCCGGGGTTAGGGGCGTAGGCTGGGTCACCCTGCCTCTTGGCACGGCTGTTCCTACCCGCTGGCTCTGTGTCAGTGCATGCTCTCATAAGGCTGAGCAATTACAGAGTGCAGCACCTCTACTTCTCACTCGACCCTGGCTCCCAAGGGGTGGCAATTTCTGCCTCCAAGAGGGGCAACCTGCTGCCAGTCATGTATGTCTTGGCTCTTGGAGATGCAGCATCTTTTGGCTGCCTCTGCATTTCACGCACCTCCGGGCTGGGGAAGTTGTCACACGCTCTCTTGTGTTAGCAGGTCTCCAGTCTTCCCTAAGGCAGTCCCTGGACTTTCCATAAAAACATCCAGTGCAATGCGATGACTGATCTCCGTCAGTTCAACTAACTTGCCTTGTGATGTTTCTATGTATTTTTCACAAAAAACACTCTGGGAAGGGACATGTTCTGATAGCTGCCTGAAACAAACCCATGTTTGAGCATACCTGAATGTTTCCACTCCAGCGCGGGATGCTGCTTTGCTGGCTTATTGCTCAGATGGTTTTGTGACTGTCCAGAGGTTTCACAGTTAAATCCCAGCCTTGCCCAACAGTGACGGTGGACCCCAGCAGGAGCTGAGATGGCCACTGCACCGAAAGAGGCAGAAAATGCTATTGGCTTGGAGGAAATCCACACGGAGAGACAAGAACCCCCAAAAGGTGGGTTTGTATTGGCAGGACTAGAAATTTGGGTCCTCATTTAGCCAAGGTAGAGGGAGGGTGCCCAGTCCTGGCACTCCAGCTACCTAAAACCTCTGTACATGGAGCCACAAGCATCAGCCTCATACTGCTCCTCTCCCATCACAGCTACCAGACTGGTGTCTGCTACCTACGGCGATGGGAAGAGCTGGCTGGCTTGGTTTTTCTCAGGCCTCTGCTTTGTGTAAATATTTTATTGTATCGGTAATTCAAGGATTCTGTAATTTTGGATAATTTTTTTTTTTTTAAAGAAAAATACATTCTATTTCAAAAGCATTTTAAAGTGAAAAAAATTGTAGAAAAGCAGAAAACGAAAAGTTCTGCATTTGCAAAAAAAAAAGTTCTCCTGAAATCCTGCAGTAAGTTCTGTTTGGTTTCAGAGGTACTGTTGGTGGTTTTGAGACGTTTTAGTTGGGACATAAATGGCCTGACAGAAAAATTTATGCAGCTATGACTTTACCTAAATAAGAGCTTAAAAGTATACATATACTGAAAGCTTTCTGCCAGGTCTGTTTTTATAAAGTCATCCCAGCCCTGATCTTGAGATGCTTTGTTTGCTCTTGAAATGGGGGGGGTGAAAGTCAGGAATAAAAGCTTAGGAAATGAAACTGAGCGCAGAGCTCCCGGTTGTGCTCGTCTTGCAGGGCTCGGGGCTGGGGCAGCCCCCAGCTCACACTGCCCATGCCAGGAGCGGGCCCGTACCCCAGGGGCACAGAGGGGCTGAGTCCCCGGTAGTTTGGGCAGAGGAAGAAAGCAGACCCTGGCCCAGACGCAGTCCCAGCTATGCGTTTCTGAAGCACCCGGGGTAACTCAGGACAAGGCTCTAAAAGCCCCAGGGGAGCGAGGCTGTCCTTCCCCCGTGCCCCGCTCGCCCTCTCCCCCGCTGGCTGCTGTTTCAGCAAACCCTGACGTGCCCGGCCACCAGCGTGCCCAGGGGCTGGTCAGTGGACAAACAACTGGTAGATGTTTCCAGCCTTTTTCCTGGTGCGGTCCCACAGTAACATGAAAAATGTTCACATTTCATAAAAAGGAGGTACAATTTGACTGCTGACAGGTTTTTTTGTCTCTGTCTTTCTTTCCCTTTGGTCTTCAGGGCAGAAGACATTTACAGTGCAAGAAGCTGTGGAAACCATTGGGTTTGGGAGGTTCCACATTGCACTTTTCCTGATCATGGGCAGCACTGGGGTAGGTGTCTGCAGCCATCTGCGCTGGCCCAAAAAGCACTCATTTTCCTTATTACTGTGCAATAACAACCATAAGCACCATGGGCACGTATTGCAGCCCATTTTTTTCACATACATCTTCTCAAGCAGGATTTCTGCTGTTGTCATCCTTGGCCAAAATCGATATTGGCCACAAACGATATCAGACCTATTTCAGGGCAAAGCCGAGCAGGTTGGCCCAGAGCATCCTGGCCTGACCCCTGCCCTGGAGCACTGTCCCACCAGGCAGCACTGACGGGGCACGTCTTCAATAGTGCCTGAGGGTTAGGTTCAGCCTCCCAACGGCATTTTTCATGCCATCCCCAGGGCACCCAAACCCTGTGCAATCTGGCATAGGAGGGCTGCACTCCTCTCACCCTTGGCTACTGGAAAAATTTCCTAACTACCAAGGTCTTGGGTTAATGGTGTATCTGGTCTGGGAACTGGGGCACAAGCCTGAGGCCGGGCTGGTGTAAAGGTGCGATGGGGACATACCCATGAGGATCACTGCAGCTGAAGTGTAAAAAACTATGTGTAAATGATAGGCTCATTTCTTAATTGAAGCCAGCTGTTGGAGCAAAGAGCCAATGGAGCAATGAAGTTTTTAATCAAAAACGGTTTTAAGAGGTCATCTTTGTGTTAGATGCTTTAATTCACAGCTGGGTACCTAACCAAGGAGCTTGATTTACAGAGATAATTGAAGACCTTCCACTAGCACAGCTGGGTAAGAGTCTCCTCTGCAATGGACGAGTCTTTCCAGCCTTCCTAGGTACACAGTGTACCTAGATACCTGTTTTCTAGGTGCACCTTTCTCCCCTCCTCTCCCTGTTTCCAAGCGCTCACGTCTTTCAGACCAGGCACAGGGCTCAGACCACTATCAAGGCACCATGGCTTCACAGGGCTGTTTCGACATGGTGGCACTGCCATGGCTGCAGGCTTGGTGGGACTGAGGGACTTTCCCCTGTGGGCTCCTTGTGGCTTCCTTTCTTGCTAACGTGCACACTCATTCCTGAAGGTGGCCGAAGCCATGGAGATCATGTTAATAGCTGTTGTGTCCCCTCTCATCCGATGCGAGTGGCAGCTTCAAGACTGGCAGGTGGCTTTAGTGACAACGGTGAGTGACTTGTGTTCCCCCCATGCAGATCATCCACTACATGGACATTGTCCAGGCCACTACCACGGGCTTTGTAAAGTACATTTCCCAGTGGACCAAATAAATTCTTAGGGCCTACTCTCAGGGACAAGAACAGTACCACAACTGTAGAAAACCAGAAAGCGAGCTGATGTACGCACACATTTGCACCCAGAGCTGTAATGCCAAAACAAGCCCCGACTTCCATATTGTTATTTTGAAGTCCTTGCCATCCAACCCTCAGCTTTGAGGGTGGAAGGAGTGAGTACCTACATGGAGGAAGTCAATCACTGAAAGCCACCTCGCTCATGGCTCTGGGCACCACAGTTCATCCTGCTGCTTGGAAAGCATTCAACTCACCCACAGTTTAAAGAGCAGAGCTGCCTGGAGCTGCTGGGAGTGGACCCTCCACAGCTGTGTTTCAATTCCCCTTAGATGGTGTTTTTTGGCTACATGGTCTTCAGCATAGTGCTCGGGTTCCTGGCTGACAGGTATGGTCGCTGGAAGGTGAGTGAGCACCAGGGGCTGCCCATCCTTTTCCCAAGCCCTGCGGGAGCCATGCACCTGGCTGAGCTCGTGGTTTGATGACCCTAATTTTGCCCCTTTTGCAGATTCTGTTGCTCTCATTCCTCTGGGCAGCCTATTTCTCCCTCCTGACCTCATTTGCCCCATCCTACATCTGGTTCGTGTTCCTGCGGGCCATGGTAGGAGGTGGCGTGTCCGGCCACGCACAAGGGTAAGGCCATGCCTCGCGCATCATGGCATGGACAGTGGCAAGCCAGCCTTCATGGAGAGGTTAGCAGAGGCACCCCCGGACCTGGAGGGGCTGAGTTCCTGGGTTTACAGCACGAAAAGCCCTCCAGCTCATTTCGGCTGACCCTGGCGGAACACCCGGTTTCCCTTGCATTGAGCCTGACAAGCCATGGCTGCGCTGCGACCTGGAGGAGACGGCAGGGAAGGGGCCTCCACGGGGGCTGGAAGTGGAAAGGGGAGCAAGTTCCCACATTACCTTAAAACAAAGTGCTGTTCTGTAATTTCACTGAATCCTGGTCGATCGACCTAAATTGCAGTTCCCAAGGACTGCAGAGCCCAAGAATAGAGGGGGCAGCTGGTTTACGTTAAGCCAGTGACAGAGGGATTATTAAGCACATATATTATAAAAACAATTAGACAGGTAACAGATGAGCAAAGGCTGCTTCCTCATAAAAAAGTCAGAACAATTCTGCTTAAGTAGCAAATTCTTCTTGAACTGATGTAAAACATTCCCACATAAATGAAACTTTCTGCTCTGTTGGGGTGGAAAGGGGGACATGGAGGGGGAGAGGAGAAATTCACAATATTAACAACCACTTCACTAGGAGCCTGGCAAAATAAATTATTTCTTTCGACTCTCTCAGGGAAACAAATGCAACATTTCAGCATCTTCTGTGGTTCCTTGAACCTCTATGCTGCCCACGCAGGAAAGCCCAAAGCTGGTCACGCTGACCCGAGATCCCTTTGCTGAAGCAAAGGACGGGAGGGAGACAGGTGGTGTTGGGAGGAGAAGGCACCATGCGCCCAGGTCATGCATCCGCCAGGCTCCCGGGGATGCCTCCTTCGCAGGAGCGCCCCGTTCCCTGGCCACGAAGGCTGCTAATGAGCCTAATGAGGATGGAGGGAAATTGTACATTTTATAAAACACTTCAATAGCTAAGGTAGAAGGAGCCAATGTGGGTCTCTCCCTCCCTCTCTCTCTTTTCAGCCAAGGAAGCACAACTCACACCTGTGAGCTTGAGAGATGCCAGTGCCAGGCCCTCCCCCAAGGACTATCCAACCATTTGATGAAAAGCACAATGGACTCTTTTCTTTATTTAATGAAGAAAATTATTCACTAAAAATTGTCCACTCCTACAAATGTACTCTGCGCCTGTGCTGACACCTCAGTTGCCCCACAGGACCTTCCCATAGGTTTCCTGGTGCACAGGAACACCTGCCTGTATCCTGCAGCCCTGGCCTGGAGAGGATTCATGCCATGCATCTCCCTTGCGTGTAATTTTGGTGCCCGCTTGAGTGGGAGGCATACTGAGCATGGGCCCCCTCTCTGGGTGCTCAGTGGTAGAAGAGGGATGGTCACTCTGCCTACGGGCAGCAACATCCAGCACTAACTGAGCTGAGCTGAACTGCTGCTTGATTAGTATAGAAATTCTCATTGTTGCTGTATTTCTGCAATTTTTTTCCCTTTTTGCTAGGCTTATCATAAAAACGGAATTTTTGCCCACCAAATACCGAGGATACATGTTGCCCTTATCTCAGGTAAGAGTGAGCACATTACTGTTTCTTCTAGCCCCAAGCCCCGGGAGATTTGTCCTGCTGCTGTCTGGAAGCCGGGTCGCCAGCACGTCAGCCTTTCTCCCAGACTATTCGCACTTATCTTGGTCCGAGCAAGTGCTTGCTGCCTCCTGCGCCCCAGAGCGTGGCATCCACGTTATTAAAGATGTACACAGGCAGCTGCCTGCAGAAGAGAGGCAATTTCTTCTCAAATAATTGGATGATCCAAACATTGCATGGGGACTTTGAGTGATGGCTGACACCCAGTCTCTCAGTTGCCCTATCAATAGGTGCCTGCACCTATTGGTGCTGCCTGCACTTATGGGGCTGGTGCCAATGGGCTTTCCAGCAAGCCCTGGGGCTAGCAGCACAACCGGCCCCCTCCGGGCCTGGGGTCATCCTCTCCTCTCTTTGGACTTGTTTAATAACAAGTGATTAATGAGGTGATTCCAGATGAGGTCCTAATCTGCACCTCTCCCTGTCCCTGCTCAGGGACGGCATGGGGCTTTGCGCAGGATAGGGCTAGCATAGATCGCCCCAAATTCAGCCTGAGACGTGCTGGGAGGGTTGTGACTACTTGCTGGGCAAAGACCACAGCAAGCGTGACTGGGGTTGTTGCTTACTCCAGATTTCTGCAGTGGGCACTTGCTGCATGTGCAAATGATCTGCAGAAGCCTCATCGAGCACACGAATTCATCTGACTGTTGAACCAAAAGTGTTTGTATACAGTCTTGGTGGCAGGGATAATTTGCTTTTCATTACTGCCTGTTTGATCCCAGGGCTTCATTACCAAAGTGTCATGAGCAACACAAAGATTTATAAAAAAGAACAATCTTGTATTTCTCCCCAGAAATTTGTTATTTCTGCCCACAGATTACTCATGAACTTGCTGCGGCTTTTATGTATTTGTTTGTGCTTAGTGTTGGCTGAGCTCCCTTGGGGGGTCCCCTGGAAAGGGATGCATCTCCTAATGGCAACAAGTGAACTGCAGGGAGGAATGTACGTGCAGATTGGGGGGCCAGATTTTCCATTGGTATAATTTGGCATTGAGTCTACTGGAGACCCACCAACTTCCAGCAGTGGAAATCTGGCCCGTTTTTGTCTTCAGTGCTCATAAATCTGCTGCTTCCCTGCAGACATTTATACAAGAGGAAAATTCATGGGCATGAGCATTAGCAAAGAAGTGACTGGAAAGACAAAAGAAGTGGCTTTAAGTACAATGGTAGCCACAGCAAGTTATCTGTTTTCATCTGGAGCCAGTTAAGACAATCTTCAGCCATCCCTTCCCAAATCCTTGTATTTCTTTCCCTCTTTCCTTCAACCCAAGCTCAACGTCTCAGACAGCTGTGGGATGGCTCGGTTTGAACCACAGCGCTCCCCAGCACAGATCTCCACCTATCCATGGAACCAGACCAGGATGGAAGAAAATAAACAAATCGTTGCCATGTGTTCATGTTTTAACCTCTTCCTTTCCCTTGGAAAGGTGTTTTGGTTGGCAGGATCCTTGTTAATCATTGGCCTGGCATCAGTGGTGAACCCAACCATTGGCTGGCGGTGGCTGATCAGAATCGCCTCCATCCCCAGCATCCTTCTCATCCTGGTGTTCAAGGTAGGAAGAGCTCCTCTCCTCATCCCCCACCGCACCACCACCAACCTGGCATCTCCCCAGGCACCAAGAGGCATCGCCCTCCACCCCCTACAAGCCTGGGACTGTCCTTGTGTCCTCCTTTTACCACTGCAGCCTTCTCACCTGGTGGGCTTGGGAAGGTCCTGATGGCCTGGGGGGGCTGCAGACCAGCCGGTGGGGAGACCTCACCCTGCGCGAGATGCCTTGGCTTTGCTTTGCTTTGCTTTGCAAAGCCTCTGGCTTTGCTGCCCTGCTGTAGCCCTCCAGCACCGCAGGCTCCAGTGTCCAGGCTGCCAGCGGTACCCAGGGACCATGGTGACGGGCCAGGCATCGAGAGGAAGACAAGCTAGGCAGGGTATACAAAAAATCACTAGCAATATCTTCAGTCTAGTGTTGGCCACAGCGCACCCTCTTCAGTCTTTACGTTTGCTAGGGCAGAGGAAAGAAGCCTCAGTAAAGTGTTCACAGAGCAAATGGGTGTCAGGGTCAACCGCGGCTTCCCCAGGTTTACTCACGCTTCAGAAATATCAGCCTTGGACATGAGGACCATCTTATTTGTGGGGAGTGATGTGGAAAATCCCTACTTACAGTGCTCGTGGGCACTGCAGTGCTAAGCTGTGGCTGGTGCAAGCCGTGCAGATGTGAAAGCCCTTCCTGCAGCTGAACAAATGCACAAGTCCATCTGGGGTGTTACCTGGGCAGTCAAATGCAAGGTCGCTGTGAACGTCCACAAGTATAACTTTGACATTTGGTTTCCCTGATTATTTTTGCCATAAAAAAGCAGGTAGCAGAAGTTTTTAGTCCAGAAGAGAAAAAGACACAGTCAGCATACATACCTTTAAGAAAGAAGTCTTTCATTCATAATTCAGTGATACAGATGTAAATGTTTATAATTTAATAGGGCCATCATTCAATAAAAAGCTATTTTATTTTGGAAAGACCACCAGGTGTGAGTGAACATGGCAAATGCTAGTGGTGAGTGAGTTTGTTCCTAAATTTCATCCATGTTTTCCTGTTTTTTTTAATGGCCTTTTTGAGTTTTCCAAGACTTTTGCTTAAGTAAGTAAAAGTGACATGTGCCTCATCCCGTTTTGGAATTTCAATTAATTAAGGGTTGTTTTTGTTAAACCTGTGTCTTTGGCTTCCACCTCTCACAAGTGCTTGCCACAAACGGCTCAGTAGCAGACCCCTGGGAGCTGGACCAAGAAATGGGTTTGTTGGGCAGGGTGAGCCCTCCAACACGGGGTATGGGGAGGTGGGGCACACAGGGGTGCCCCAGAGCATGGCTGGGGAGGAGGACAGGCAAAAGGCTGCTCCAGCTCAGGCGGCGCCCCGTGCTAACCTGGCCGGGCTCCTGGGCATGACGGGAAGCTGTGAGTAGGGCTGTGTGGACGGAGCGGTGCAGAAAGGCTTTCTGATGCTGCTCCGCTTTCAGTTCATCCCGGAGTCGGCGAGGTACAACGTGTCCACGGGAAATATGGCAGCTGCCCTGGCCACGCTGCAGATGATAGCCAAGATGAATGGGGCGGCCATGCCCGAGGGGGTGCTGAAGGAGCCAGTCAAGGTAAGCTGAGCCCGCGGCGCTGCCCGGCCCCTCCGTCCCGGGCAGGGCTGCCTGCATCTGGGGTTCAGGGAGGGAACGGGACCACCAAGCATGTCTCACTCTGCCTCCCTCCCCCTCCTCACCTGGTTTCTTTCCAAACAGCTATTGAATGTGATGACGATGATGTCATTTTTCTTTTGGAGAGACAGTAATCTTGGCCCTCAAAATTAAATGGAGTTTTCTGCTTTTTTTCACATTCTTTGTGTTTGCTCAGAAAAATATCGTGCTAAGAAAAGATTTGCTTCCTTTACCACAAAAAGGGCTCCCGGCAAAGTGTGTTCTTCCTTATTGCCCATCCATCCTCCAGGGGTGTCCCCTGTGCCGTGAGACCTGGCACCTGCCCCTCAGGGTCCCTTTCAGGGCTGTGGCCGGCCAGGCTGCAAGGGTCCCTGCCATGAGGTCAACCCACCGCTCCCAGAGGCTTTTCCCAGCCCCTGGCCAGGCTTGTCTGCTGGGTCCCAGCACCCCAGGTCCCTGAGTGTGGAGCCACGGACCAGCAGAAGAGGGTCAAAGCGGGAGAGGCCATTTCAGAGCTACTGCCATTTGCACCTGTGAGCAGCTCAGGAGTTGATCACTACTGGACCGAAATGCCCAAAAGCATGTGTGGGTGTTGCAGGGGGGGCCAGACCTCCCCCCCAGCTCCCCCTTATCCCCAGTCCGGGCCCGGCTGAATGCAGGGTGGAAGAACTTATTCAGGTGGCTCCTTTGACCCCCTCCCAAGAGAGGAAGATTGGACAAAACTGTTGTCCAGGGCCTCAAAATTATTATCCAGCTCTTTCAAGTCCCTTTCCTGGACCTCTTTGCTGCTTATTCAATCCCACAGGCACCAAGCATTGTCCTTAGCAATTCATGCAAGATGGTGCTATTGTATTGGAATTAATTAGGATTAAAGCTTCCCTGTAGTTTAACTGAATTTATGTAATGGACCCACATTGGCTGTGGGAAGGGTTTTTGTTAGTTGTGCACCCTCTCAGGCTTAACCGATGATGAGGAAAATAAAAATAAAGGCAACCCAAACCATCCCTGTGACCTCGTCTCCCCTCAGTGGTGGGATGCTGGGGCAGCTGCCGGCTCTTGGGGAGCAGCAGGGCAGGCAGGGCCCCCCAGTGCCTGCTTGTCTCTCTGGTCACTGGCATTTCAGGCCTCCCGGCAAGATGCACGTGGACACAAACTTGCTCCACATGCAGAGCAGGGGCTGCCGGGCCCCTCTCCCAGCACGTGGGGCAACAGGAGCTGCCAGCAGCCCCGGCAGTGCTGGCCCCCAGAAGCAAACAGGCCCCCCTCTGGCACCATGACGGTCATGCTGGGGCCAGACTGCCAGGAGATGGGGGGGTCCTGTGGGGGCTGGGAGTTCTCAGGATGTTCTCTTCTCCTCCCCTCCATCCTTTGCAGCGTGTCATCCTGTGGGCATCCTTTGGGAAGAGGGGCTTTCCTCTCCGGAGGGCTGATGGGCTGCCGTGTTGCACCATCTGTCAGTGTTGTACCTTCGGCAGCCTGGGGCGAGGGCAGGGGGGCCTGGGGTGCCAGCTGCTGCCATAGAGCACTCACCCCTGTATAAAAGATGCTTTTTTAAAAACTTCTATTTGTATCAAACGATTTGCAGGGAAGGAGAGGAAGATTCAAGGACCTCATCCACCCCAAATACCTCAGAACCACTTTGCAGATATGGATCATATGGTAAAAAAAAGTTGTCTTTTTTTTTTTCTTTCCTCTTGCTTGTCAGCTCATTCTCTCAGTTGCACATGTGCAGGGAGCAGAAGTCTCCTGTTGACTCTGCTGGCACGGGTCACCGTAGGCATGTCCTGATCTCAGACCATGCCTCAGACACCCCATGTTAGTCAGTGTTAACGTAGGCAGAAGAAGGCCGGACATCCAGGATGGTGCAGGGCGCCATGAGTCCTTCCTCATGACAGGACGGCTCAGGGGAGGTGGGGTGGGAGCCAGACGAGAGCCACAGGAGAGAGCCCACGCCTGCCTGCAGCGTGCAGCAGCAATGTGCCCATGGCTCCGCTTCCCTTCTTGGGGTAAACTTGCTCTTCCCGAGAGGAGGAGAAATGTACCAGCTTTGCAGGCCAGCCAATAATATCAGTGAAATAGGGCTCTAAAGAAACTCATTAACCGTTACCAGGGCCACTGACCGGGGAAAATTAAGATTGAAGAGAGATGGGTTTCATATGCAATGTTCCTGGTAGCTGTATGCAAGGGTAATATATGTTTCATTGACTTTGCTGTCTGGAATGGAAATATATAAATAATGGGTCTGTGGGAACTCGTAGACCCAAAAGGTTGCTAAGTAACTCAGGCCTTGAATTTTTTATGTTTTTTTTTCCCCCCCCTCAACTTGTGTGAGTGTTATGAAATAATTTTTTGGTTTTTAATCCTCCTTTCTCTCCTAGT